ACTACTTTGGAAAACCTCTGCCATTTTTTGATTGACTCTGCTGATTGGATTGATTTTTTTTCTCCATATATCTTGTGACAGCAGTAATAAGATGATGACAACAAAACTGGGATGCAGTGGAGATGTAAAAATGCTGGAAAAGGCACAAATGTCTTGTTCTAAGATACATTAAAGTACAATTCAAAGTACCATGAAAAAAATGGAAAATAACAGTTTATTAATGCCACCAATAAGAAAAAAGATTGTTAACACAATATTCTATTTTTTTAAATCAGAATGGATTAGTTCAGCACTATTAATTTGAACTTGCTTTAAAAAGCATGCATGTCGCCACTGGCCACTGCATATAGTATATAATTTACRTTTCTTCCAGTGTCTGATGCATGAGGAAGTTGCACATTAGCTAGGACACTCTGAGGAGGATTAATTTAAGGAAACCCTGGGTATCTACAAGTAAGATGTCCACTCTTAGTATGTAATTCAGATTTTTCTCTGTAGCTGGTGGAGTTAGACACCCCTATATAGTAACAGATCCCAGTTTGGGCATTTCTTTTAGAATGACATTAATTACCTCCTCTTGCCTACTGCTTGCCCCTGGCTKGGAGAAAGGCCTGAAAGAACAGCTTGTGGCTTCCTGGCTAACAGCAGATGAGATGAAGCCTCTGGAAGGTCATTTCCTGTGGCTAGGCTAAGTTCTGGCAATAAAACAAAGCCGTATCTTATCAATCTTATCTTATACAAAGTCCACTTTAAAACATTTTTAAGCCATCACAAAGGTTATGTTTATAAACTTTTAGCTCATTATGTTTTACTTTTAAACTGGGTAAGCCTCAGGTAATTCATAGTAGGTTGTTAAACTGAGTCATCTGGTTTTGGACTKTGTGGTCATAATAACTTCTATGTCAAAAATATTTGTTTCGCCTAAAAGGTTGGCTTATCTCTTTGGTAAAATAATTCTCATTTTCTGAATCATTTAGCGATTTAACATATTAGAAAGAAGTAAGTTATMTGACTCTTACCAGGCATTAGCCAGTGTTTAATGTCTTGCAGCTGGAGTTCTGGGTACACAAGCAAAAAAAGGGCTGTGTTTTCTCCAGAATTTGGAACAGTCAGACTGCATTTTTAAAGAGAAATTAGGAAGACAGATGACTAATGGAAGCTAGTTTCCAGACGCAGGACACTATTGGAAAAAAATTCTCTTCGGTAAATTTATCCTTATATAAAGCATATAAAAGTATTCTTTTTTTCCAAAACTTGGATCTACATTTTGGTAATTTCTTCCTGAGTTTCCTAATATCTCAAAATCAAATTAAGCTCCATATAGTGCAACTGTTAATCCATGTTATTTGTATCTAGGCCATTTTTGAAAATGTCCAGACAAAACKGAAAATGGCATGATACCAACATTTCCTAGAACTACATGTTCTGGGGAGAACTCGTTAACAAATGAATGAAGCAGCTTTCTTCCTCAGGGATTTTTTTTTTTTTTTAAGAGCTTTCCTGTTTTTGAAACAGAAATTTCTGTACACCTTGAGGAATGAGAAGTGTGGCACTTTGTCTGATACCTGCTGCCCAATGGACATAGATTTTGCTTTTGAGTTTTTAAGAYTGTGGGGGACTCACAGCAATCAAATCACCACAACAAAGTTTCTAAAAAGGTCAAATAAAATGTCTACATGTGCTAGCCAAACATCTAAATCATCGACCAAAGAGTTCTCAACAAGAAAAYACTGCATTAGGGGATAGCCATGGACAATTGCTTATAATCTTCATGAAAAATTAGGCTTTTAAACTGTTTAGTCAGTTGTGCTAAATTTAAAGGAAAATGAAAAAAACAACAGAATCTGAAATTACTAACAAAAAATTGTACCTTTTAAGTGCTGGACATCTCTTAGAACTTATAAAATGCTTGTTATTTTAAGAAGAACCACGATATAACAAAAATTGTGACATGCTAGTGGTATTTAAAAATGGTTTATGTATTTTTATGTATGTAATAGGCATCTGTCACGTCTGTAAAGAAAGAGGGCAGGCAAAAGAAATAAAACCAAGCAAATTTGAAATGCACATTCAGACTTGCCACAAAATTGTGGATAGATTAGAACACAGTTGCAAAAGATTTTCTCATATAATTAAAAGGTCAAAGCAGTATGAGCAGGACAAAAAACTTAATTTTTATTTATAATGATTTATAAATTTATTATATTTGGTTTCAAAAGTTCTAGACAGAGGTGAGATGCAGAATTCCTAAGGAATCCTTTTGTTCTTCCTAACACCAGATATTGACTGTTATCAYCCAAGGACACATCAAACTATAGGCAATCATTGATCCAATATAGCTTTGGTTTTCCATTATAAAGGGTTCCCTTTCATTAGAGTTTTAAAGGRTTTAGTGTGAGAAAGTAAAGACCCTGTATTCGTGACCTGGAATAATCTACTCTTTATGAAAGGCTGGCAAACCACAGGGAATCAAAGAATGTGCCTGTGGCTGCAGAGGTTTTATCTGAGTCTAATCTAGGGGACACTGGAAAATTCAATGCATAATTGAAGATTCATCAAAAAGAACTTCTCAGATTAAAAGCTACGTTTACTGTGTGAATGAGAAATCCTGGAGTGTTGCTTTGCTTTTGTGTTTGAAGTAATTTTCARGTTTTTTAAAATTTCAAGAATAAAAAGAACAGCTCAAGGAAAATGAATAATCACATCAGGTGTTGTTTTTGACCTCCTAAAATGCAGCAACTTTCTCTATGGAAATGAACTTTCTGTATTTAAGATAACCGATGCCTCAAACCCTACACCTCTCCTCTCAAGTAGACCACAGACATCTTTAACTTGCTCTAGGATTCAACACTTTTACAAAGCTTTTCTTTTCAGAGATTGGCAATAGAATAGAAAAGTGAAAAAAAAAAACCCAATCCTGTTGCAATTCCCAAAGTGAAATAAATTTGATGTGTTTTCTAACTCCCACTTTTGGAATTGTTTTTTATATAACAGCACTCAATTTTGAACTGTGTGTGAGATGCTCATGATGGAGAGCTGCCTGGTCCTGGGTCAGCCACCTGCCATGGAGAGCTGGCTCAGGGGCAGAGAGTGGCACAGTTCAGCCAGGAATACGCCTCCACTGCAGAGCACACAGGAACAGGAGAATGAAGTGCTGACTATTGACCTCTGAGAGCAATGAAGCACTTTTCACAACAAAATAACAAGCCATTTGATTTCAAGAGAGGAAGAAAATTTCAGGGACATTTCAATGGACAAAATGCCTGAAAGTACCACCCTGAGTTTACAGATCACTTTATTCCAAGGGATCATTTATGTATCAAAGCAATGGGCAACAGCACCACACCAACAAATGGACAATTCAATGCCCAATAATGCATGTGACCAGCTATGCTGTGGTTAGTGACAACAAAATGACAGAGGAGACACCAGCAAGGAAGAGGATGAATCCACCCCTTGTCGTGTGAACAGATCTCAGATTTGAGGGAAGGAGACAATAATGGATGAATATGACTGAAAAACCAATGACAGGAAAACGTATCAACAAGCTAATTGACACCTGCACTCTGTGTTTTTCCAAAACTTAAGTAATTCTCTGTGAGGGTCCTGAGAAACCTCTGTATCTCAGCTGCTCTGGACTGCTGTATTTGGGACCTCAGCCCATGATGTTGGGGACTCCCTGTAAGCTCAGGTCCAAMCCCAAGCTATGCTGCAGATGGACCTATATTCAGTCCCATCTTGTGTCCTGGGCCAATGCTGAAGGCAGCTTGTCTCCAGTCCTGTCCATGAACCATGCCTCCTTGGATGGGGCTTGGAGCTGTTTATCCTTTTGCTGCTGCACAACCCCTGTCTGGATCTGGTTCACCATCTCACTGTCTYTGTTCCTGCTGCCTGCTCTGGTCCTTGCCTGAGCTGTGCTGTTGGCAGCTGTGTCCCCTCACTCCCTCCCTGCTCCCTCCCTGCCCTGCTGACCTGGCTGCCAGCCCTGACCCCGTGTCTGCCTCATTGCTGCCATCAGCTGATGGGCACAAGACTGAGGGTGACCCAGCTGCTCCTCCTGAGCTGCTGGACTCGCCCTGTGCCCTGCCTGCGCCTGCTGCCACATTGGCTACCTGTTCCCCTAACCCACGAGAGAAACTGGGTGCTCTCTGCTTGGAAAGGCAATCAGAGCCAGTTACATTTCCCTTTCTATCTGTGGAAATATGCTTTATTTAAATTTGCCCAGCAAACCATCCTCTGCTTTGATAGACCACTCTGAAGGCTGCAGAAATGAACCCAAACCTTCCCTTCACCCCAGCAAGCTCCACGTTGGCAGCGAACAGAGGTGCAGGCGATGTTTAACAACCCAACCCTACCCTAACAGGGGAATTCTCATCCACTTCAGAGAGAGAAGCAACAAACCTCACGTCTCAGTTCTTGAACTCACAAAGAACACGACAAAAGCAGTCCCCTGCAGAGCCTCATTTAACAGGGGCCTTTATCAGCATGACAAGGTGATCTTATTAACTCGCACAGGGAATGTGCATGGAGAAATATGGGATCTCTGCTGGTACAGACACAGATATAAAATGGGTATGCTTAGTAACAAAATGTCATGTAATAATTCACTGCTATGAATTACTTTATAGTACAATATTATTATTTAGAACTGGCATCATATACTCTCTTAAAACAGTTAAATAATACTGCATGATTATTGTAAATAACTGTATTGATACTGCCTTACTAGTCAATAGCCATATTAATACAATTACAATTTTTTAAATATGTCCATAATTGAACCCGCTCTTTTATTACAGATTTATAAAGAGAGTTTTAAATGTTTAGTTTCCTAAGCATTTCCTGAGTCCTACATATCTTCCACACAGATGCAGGATGCTGGAGTCCCTTCAGARTCTGGTAAAAACTATTTCTACAATCTGATTTTGATTAATGAAGTTCAGTGGGATATAATTTGACAAAATACTGACACTATTTACAGACAAAAAAAAATCTCTTACCTCCATTATCTTTTAGGTGCAGTGCTATCTTGGTGTCATCTGTAAAGAAAATTCACAGTTAGTTGAAGGAAAATGCATTTTTCTAGGTAATAAACCATTTTAATAATCAGTTTCTGATGTGAAAAAAATTCTACAACCAACAAATTATTTGGTACTCAACTCAGAACTAGATTGTGATGTTTCTTATGCTGAGCACTACACTGTCTTACCATTAAAAAAAAAGAAGCATTTTTGAGAGTGTTAAAGCATTCAGGAAGATTCAAAACATTAGCAAATAATGTTATTAGAGTCTGTGTCATAACATTTACAGATAATTGATGCATGTTACATGTTCATAAATAGCTTGAGCATTCTATCATATTGAGGACTATATGAACCAACATATGACAATAAAATAAGACAATTACTTAGTTCCTTTTCAAAGAATCTTGAAAAGATCTACTAATATTAAATCATATTTACCTCAAAGTTCCTCTTTTTCTTGTTAATTTTAATAAACAAAATGCCAGAAAATACTCCTTTTAATGCAGTCCAAATGCTGTACTGACAGTTTCTAAATTTTTATAGGTTTAAACAAAACCAGCCTTTCTTATGAGCAGATTCCCACCTTGAAATGCCTTCAGCTCAGATTTTCATGGCACAGGTCACTTGGACAATCTGCCTGTACCTTGTGCTTTTTCTTGTATTAACATCCAACTTCAACAAATGCRKGCACACACCCAYGTGCACACACWCATTTTATAAATGATCCTTGATTCATCTCAGCTTTCTTGCCCAGACGAATTTTCTCCAGAGGCAGGAAAGCAGGATATCCCAGGCTCAAAAAGGCAAATGGTACGAGGATGAGAACTGACCCACCATCACTCACACAGTTAATTTGGTTCAGCCTAGACAAACKATTTCACAACAGTGTGCACTGCATGAAAAGAACAGTGTCAATTGACTGAAAAAAAAGTAAACAGGCATATTTCAAAGAGGTTTTTAATTTGGGTTATCTATAATTTTCACCTGGCTAAATAGAATCCGCAAAAGAATTAAAAGTTCATTAAGTCTGTGATGTAAATTTCTTCTAGACTTAGCAGGGATCTTTACTACTACTATTTCAGCAGGTTTTGGACTAAGTCCTGAAGGTAAAGAAACATGAAAAAGTCATTGTAACCTCAAGTTTTCTGACAGTCTGCCTGACTTGTCCTTGCTTCTCCAGCAGTATCCTTTCCTCCAGTCCTCATCCCTTTTGCACCATTCTGGTGCAAGAGTGAGCAATTTAAGAGCAGCAGCAGAGAGAGCCTTGACTGCAATTCTCAACTCTTTTGGCTGGAAAAAGGTCATCATGAGCACATCCTTAAAGAAAATAAATTTCTTTGACTTGTAAATTACTTTTTTTTCAAGTGTAAAAACGCAGAGTGCACACGTCACCTTCTGTGGGCAGGCTGGTTGGCAGGTGGGAAGTGGTGGATCCTCTGGTGGTTGTTAAAACTCTGAACCTTGTGGTGGTTGGCAGAAGGGTGGTGGTGGTGGAGTACAGAGGTGTTTCAGTTGTGTCTATATTCTTCTCACAAATCTTATCTTTTGACTGTTGGGAAACAACAGAAACAAGGAATAGAAAATGAATTCTCAGTGGAAACTGTCAAGAATGAAGAATTTAAACATGGACAAGCTGCTGTGATAAAAAGAGTGAAAACAGACACCCTAGATCAAGAAATTTCAAGAGCTTTTTCTTCATTTTTTTCCCTTTCAAGTACTCTGTGCAGCATTCTGCAACATTATATTTTTTCATTTATCTGCAAAATTTACAACTCTTAATTCTTAATGACAAGGCTTCAAAGTCACCCCGGATTGTCAGGCTTCTTATTTCCTTCAATCAGATGTTAACATCTAAGTTTATAATTCAGATTTTCACTTTTCTATTTTGAAAGCTTACTGCCATCAATCCAGGTGCCATAACATATGTTAAAAAAGATATGTGGGAATTAAATAGTAGCTCTTCATAGTGCACAATGTGYAGTTAAGTGGAGCATTTAATTAAGCTCTACATGGAGTTATCACAGAAGAACACACATATATGTGYAAAATGTGTGCATTTATTCAGCCTRTAGAWGATTTATTTACTRCAATAAAGCAATCCATTCWCTATGTGCCTATTAATATTAAATGTCATGTATTATAAAATTATTAGCATAAAAAATAAATCTAAATATAAATAATGTAACTATAATTAACAGTCACCATCACATAATATTTTAAAACTTATTTGCATGGGCAAACATTTTGATACAAGTACAGAGTCTGCTTGCTGGGGTTTTTTTTTGCTTTCCTTTTTWAAAATTTTCCCCCAAGTTCTGGACACTTTTAAAATTCTGCAGATGTAATGAATAATTTCTTTTATGGTTCACACAGTTTTGCAGGAAAATACATCCAATTATCTTGCAGCAAATATGGGAACTGCGTCTAACTCCTGCTGTCCCTATTCATTTTAATGWGAAGTGTGAGAAGTGGAGTCCTGCAAATGCTTATTTTATTTCATTGAAATCTGGCTGTCAGAACCCAATGGGCWTTTTCTTCCTTTTAACATGCACAGGTATTTTATTGCTCTTTGTTTTACCAGAAACAATTTATCCCATTAAAGAAAGCTATCAGTACCTGCAGGATAATTATTCTTTAAATTTCTTTGTATTTTTCTTGAAAACTACTGGCAATTTCACTGGTGCATTTTAATCAAACTTTAGCTCAAAATCTATATGAAAAATAAGGAAATGCTACTATGAGAATCCTCATTATTCATCCTCTTAAGTGAAGGCATCCAGAATTAACTGTTGTGTGCTAATTATTGATGCCTCACTGAACTCTCGCAGTCAGCTCAGGCATAATTCTGGGAGATGYCAAGTAAGCTGTTGCTTCTGCTCTATAGAGCCTAAAAGCTTGACAGTGAACTGTCACCAAGTAGTCTGAAATTGTGCAAATTAATAATTYCTCAGATATGCTTGGTGTATTGATAATTTCCTCTCAGATTGTGCACTAAACCTTGGAGGCATGGTTGGACTGAAACAAGAAAGGAGAAGCAGAATTGGATGTTACTGTCCTGCAGAGAGAAGTTTTTGGATAATTTCATTCACGAGCACAACTGGATCCTCGCTAATTAYAATCTGGGTTAAAGCAATATAAGGTCTGTGCACTACAATAACACTTGCTTCAGTAACTTTTATGTTCTTAAAGAGTTTGCCCCCCACAGACAAATAAATCCCTCAGAAATTTTGCTTTTAAATCAGCAGATGACAAACTGCAAAGCTGAAGCTTCAAGGCCATGTAACAAAGCAGTACGTAGGCTGCAGCTATTTTGCAATTACAGTTCTAAGAAAAGAATTTCTTCAATTACTCTGGATTTATATCATTATTTCTCTTTGCCTCTACTGAAAATAGAACAGAATGTGCTTTTCTAACTAGACACTTGGGGTTATGTTTTGTCCTGGGTTTCACTTGACATTTCAAGAGGCCTGTGTTGCTGAAACTCATGAGAAAATTTAGCCTGTTCAGCAAAAATGGAAAAATAACTGCCCTTTTTTAATGGCCACCAGAAGATTAAAAGTGCCATCAATTAATTTGTTCCCATTACCACAATGCCAGAATGGAAAAAAAAAAAAGGAAAATTAAAGAAAAACCCAACCCTCAAACCAAAAACTCTTGTAAAGGGGCTTTTAAACTGGAAAAGAGTCATTATCAGGATATTTATAAATGTTTCTTGAAAATTAACTTAGGAGTACCCCAAATAACTTTCAGAGGAGGCTTATGGTCCMWGTTTGACTGCTCACCACKACCACAATTGGATACCTTTCTYATCCTCWCACTGCATCTCCATGRAAAGAAATCAAATGCCATGTATGTYGGTTGCATGAGGGTTTAAAATTATTTTTTAAATTRTTATTTTAATTTTTATCTCTGAATTCATCTGTGGAATTTCTTCCTTATTAAATGATTTGGCCAGATTTCATAATCAAAATGCAATGCCTGTTTTTCACTTCAGACTACTCTGGCAAAGGGTTTTCTGAAGCGAGGAACAAAACAGCTTCTTGCCCTTTTCTCTCAAAAGTCAGAGAACTAAAAGAAAATTAGTGCACAGATAATGGTTTGGAGGAGACCTTCTGGTTTTTGTTTTTGGGGTTTTGTTTTTTTTTATTTAGTTAAAATAATTTCTCAAAAATAAAATTTCAATTTTTGTCCACTTTAGTCCCTCAAATGGGGAATGAAATGGCTCAGTTTACTCTTCTTTGTTATGCCTTATAGAATTTCCCCTGAATGATAAAAGCAGCATGTCTTTGGCCTTGAAACCATGCTTTGTAATCTGAATAATTTAATCAAAAACATCATAACTGCATAAATTGCCTCTGATGGGCTGAGGACGTAAACTACTCACATACCTCTTCAGGGCAGCCACTGTCTACCCAATCTTGCCGGTGACGATCAAATCCACTGGAGCATCTTTAAATGATGACATAGATAGAAGTTGTCCAGATGGAAATAGGAGGAAAACAAGAACAAGAAAGGAAGGGAGAGGAASAGAACAGAGTGACAGAAAGAATAAGTAAATGGTGTGGTATAAAATCCATATGATTTATATGTTATCACTTTTATTAAGGATGCTGTTGCTYACAATATGAGTTACTCCTTTAATCCACTTCAGTGAAAGGTGTTTCAATGAATGGGACTTTATTTTCATTTAAAAATTTATTTMTGGTTTTTAAATTGGAATATCTCCCTTTGACTGAATAATTATTCTTAAGATGCCACTGACCCATAGCATTTTTAAGTTTGATGTCAACTATACTGATCTAAATTAGTTTAATTATTATTGTCCAGACTTCTTGGACAGGAAAATTTAATCCCATGACGGATGCAGTGAACCAGTACAGCTGCTTCTACTTCCTCACCAGATGCAGAAAACTTAAACTGCGTGCATATTTCTTATCAAATTAGGTGACTTTAATAACCAGTTTGCAATATCCTTTCTCTTTTGCTATATATAACAAAAAAAAAATTTAAGAAACATATAACACTTTAATATAATGATTCCCCTGGCAATCCCCATCTCTCAAAAGTGCTATCAGTGATTGTAGGGTAAGTTTGTGTTTCCTAGACAACAAGTAGCATCACAAACAGAAAGCATTATTAAAAWGGCAAGCAAATAACTAAACCACGATGTTCAGCTTTGAAAGATATTCTTCCCAGCTAGGGTGTTTTTTATTTTGTAGGGTTTGTTTTTTTGGTTTCTATATTCATTTCCTGCAGTACTTTGTTATGAGACAGGGTGATGTCATTCTGTACCCACGGTCATAACTCACCTGACTGTACAACAAACAACTTTATTGCTGCCTTTTAATAAGACCAGGCAAGCAAATAAGGTCACAGTTATAGTTTGCTGTATTCAAGAGTAATTTTTTTGTTTTCAAAGAATTGAAAGATGACAAGATGCCCAATTTCAACCAAGATAACAGGTTCACTTGGAAGAATGGAGCAGTGGAGTTCTTTTCAYAGTAGAAGATGTGACAAGATGTAAACGATATTAACAACATACTTGGGGTAATAAACCTCACTATATAATAATTCTGAGMAGAATCTGCAATGTCTTTGAGAAAAGATTTTGATAAAAATGTTTGTTCTTTTGTTATACTTGCACTGATYCACATTGCGCCATTTGCAATATTGCTGAAGGAAATACCCAAACAGGTGTCAATTTTCACACACTCTATAGCAACTGGCTTCTCCAAAAACCTACTGCAGTTAAGAAAAACATGTCCAAATCAGAAATGTATTTCAGAGAAATACAGATAGCTCCTTCCCAATGCATTAGGCCTCTAACATAGGAAGGACATGGATCTGCTGCAGCAAGTCCAGAGGATGCCACAGGACTGGAGTACCTCTCCTAGGARGAGAGGCTGAGAGAGTTGGRGYTGTCCAGCCTGGAGAAGAGAAGGCTCCAGGAAAACCCAATACAGACTTTCCGTACTTAGAGGGAGTTTTTAAGAAAGAYGAAGAGAGACCTTTTATCAAAACCTGTTGTGACAGGACTGGGGGAAATGGTTTTAAATTGAAAGAGAATATATTAATATTGGATATAAGGAAGAAGTTTTTTCAGTGATGCTGGTGAGTCGCTAGAASAGACTGCCAAGAGAAGTTGTGAAAGTTCCATCACTGGAAGTGTTCAAGGTCTGGTTGGATGGAGTTTTGTGCAACCTTGCATCTAGTGCAAGATGTTCCTGCCCATGTCAGGGGGCTGCATTGAGTGACCTTCAAAGGTCCTTTTGAACCCAAACCATTCTATGAATAAAGGCCACTGGAAAAAGRGTTTTCTTGCTGAAGTGTGAGTGAATCAGGGCTATGCAGGGAGCTCAGTACAGCTTCTCCATCCCTGTGGTGTTCTGTCTCCGTGAATGTTTGAAAGAACAAGGAAAATCTTACTAAAGAGAAAGAAATTATGACATGGCATTCCAGGTTGGAATAGAACATTTTTTTTTTTTTAGTCTTCCCTACTTTTCTCTGAAATTTGAAGAGCTTTGTTAGCAACTTSTGTGTCCATCTCAAAGGAGGACTGGACTGATTGTCAGATGTACTGAACTCTCATAAACCCATTACATTTTATTCATATTGCTCTGGCTAAAATCTAATGGGCTTGAGGATATTCAGTTTATCGAAGAAGCAAGCCAAATATTTAGACATGAAATCAAGCCACTCCATAAATTCCTCCACTTGATACAGTAAAAGTAACAGTTACATATCTATGCTAATTCAAACCCAAAGTACTTAGAGCTAGTAGGGATTAACAAACTTAGATTTTATCTCGTATCTAATGGTGTCAAATTTAAGTCTCCAAAGACTAAATTAATAAAAATGTATCCTAGGTGCACCGATTTACAATTCTTAAGTCTTTTCTTAAAAACTACTGAATTACAGTGGTGAGTAACATTTCTGGGGTTAATTTTTTTTTCACCAGAAATTAATCAACCATCAACAATTGAACTTAACATGCAAGAACTTGGAATGTCTCTTTCAAACATGTGAGGCACTCTTGAGAAGACTCTGCCTCAAAAAAAAGTACATTAAACCCTGGGCACTGTTTATTTAACATTTTCCACYGATGCACAGTGAGTCCAAACAGTTTTATCAGAAAGAAGCTTTATCAGGAGTGAGACAGTCTCCTGGCAAACCTGTTTGTGAACTTCCTTTGAGGCATATTTCACTAGATGTCAGCCATAGCAGCTACTGTTGTTGCTGCCTCATTGAGTTGGAATTCTGGAAGCTGTCATTTCAGCACAGYGCCCGCTTTACTGACTGCACTTTTAAAAGCTTCATTTTGTAGCATGGTGATAATTCCCTGTTGCCATTAAAACACTGGAGCAGATTTGATGTGCTGTGCTGTTTATGCCATCTGTCAACACGGCTATTTTATAACAACTTCATTTCCAAGTGATGACCGAACTYGGCTCTGAGGAAAGCAATAATAAAGATGTTCTAGGAAATGAAAATAGGGACATGCATGAAACTCAAGGAATTTCAGGATTTGTGTGGAACTCTGGAGTATTGGTTCAGGGAGGAAAGGGAGRATGAATGTCTCTGCATGTATAGAAATGATGATTTGACATAAAAAATGCAGCTGAGTCTGAGTAACAGGAAAGCTGTCAGAATCCTTTCAGTGAACTCTGTGTAGCCAGAAMGGTTTGGAGATGCCATCCCATCTAMCAAATGCCATTTACCTGTACATGGCAGAGAATATTTAAATGACAAGCAATGTCCATTCAGTGCATGGCACGAAATACTTTGCTCCTCCTTTTTGAAGACAGTTCAATGAGGATGAATAGTAATAATAGTAATCATGACATGAAATACTTTGTTCCTTCTTTTTGAAGCAAGTTCAATGAGGATTAATAATGACAATGACAATGACGATGATGATAATGATTATGATGATGATGATGATGATAATAATAATAATGAGAAAATGTGTACAGAAAATTCATCAAGGTTTAACTTGTAAAACATAAAAACATAATGGAAAATTATTGGGAATGAAAGGGAAAAAGTCTGTATAGACAAATCTTTTCACCAGGTTGAGCTGGTGTAAGACAATCAAGAGCATTGAAATGCACAGCACATGTCCTTTAAACCAATACTTTCCTAGTCCTTTTGGTTCTGCAAAAGCATGTAAAGAATGGAGTTTTTGGAAAGGAAAGGCATTCCAGAAATCTGAAATTATTTTGTAAATACCATGTAATGATTTAGCTCATTTGAAAGGTTTATTAACACAGCTAAATAAAGGRTTAATCTGGAAAATTAACTAGAAAATTGAACAGACAGAACTCTTCTGGCTTCAACAATTGAGGAAGGACAATCATGTTATTAAAAGACTAAGACATTTGCTAAGATGTTTGAACTACTAAAAGAAAAATCTATTTTAAAGAAAAGTATATTTTAAAGTGGAATTTCTTTGCAAGATGAGATAGGAATTAATTTTAATATTAAAATATTCATAATTTTAAAAATTAATATAATATAAAAAATGCTGAAACTTTGTGTCTGCCCAACTGAAAAATAACTCTAATCATAGAGTGATTTTGGGAGGGAAAAATGTTTATCTTTGTGCTTGGCCTGGTTTTGCCTCCCTTTACCACAGAACAGGCTCCATCACCCTTCTAATAACACTTTCTTGGCACACTCTGCTGTCTGGGGAAAGACTAAATTTTCATTCCTTCGTTATTTTCCATGTTCAAATGCAGAACTTTATCAGAGCTCCAAGTGCTTATGAAGTTCCTGTGAAGTGTCACTGTGAGCACCTGTGGTATGCATTTGTAAGTATTTGAAGGTATTTGYGTTGATCACCTAGCCCAATACACCTAGTCATAAATCTGAATTCAAGCATAAATGTGTTCTCTGTATTTATCCTTTACTTAAACATTGCTTAATTAAACTGTACTTCAGAATAGGGCAACAATTTGATTAGTCAGAAGAGGATTTGCTCCCTCCTTGCCCTTGTAAAGTAAAAATAGCTGACTAGCCTAATACAAGGATTTTAAATTAAAGCCACCCTGTACTATTTTAATGTTTATGAAAAATTTGAATGTTCTGAAAGCAGAGTTAATAGTTGATGCAACACTGAATTCCACCATTGTCTCAACTCTATMTGCTGCTCAAAATTTAAAATATTCAGGTAATGATCAGGGCGATCATAGTGGCACAAAGGTCAGTAGAGAATCTTCAACCCGACAGTGGTTCCATAATTTCATGGAATGTAAAGTTTGGAAAAATATAGCTAAATGCTCTGTAAAATCCTCCTGAAATATCAAGTAAACATAGAAGCGAAAGATGTTAAAACTCAAGCTGTTATTTTACTAAAAAAGACTGAACATGCATAAACCTCAATATTTGTAACTCTGACACAACATTTGAATAGGCAGCAAGAAATAAAAACTCCCACAGGGAATTCTTTC